TTTATATAACATTCCATTTATATAACATTCTCCAAATGACAAAATGATAGCCATGGAGAACAGGTTAGTGGTTGTGAGGCATTAGGAAAAGCAGTAAAAGGGGCTGGTGCGATGGTAAAGGAGCCCTCTGTGGTTGACAGAGCAGTTCTGTCCTGAAGTGGTGGCGTGGTGGTTCCATGAATCTGTACATTTGATAAAACGGCGTGGTGCTCTACATATGCGTTAGAGCAATGTCTGTTTCCTGCTTTCGGCGTTACGCTGTCGTTTCGGGAGATGGAACCGTGGGGAGAAACTGGGTGAAAGTACACAGGACCTGTCAGTGGTCTTTTCTCTATGAATCTATAATCGTTTCAAAATAAGTTTTTTAAAAACTCAGAAATAAATTAAGCTTTGTCTGGCCCTAAGAACCCAGCTTTCTCCCATGGTCCCTCATAAGGAGACCAAGCACGGTAATGGCCACACGCCTGTCCTGGTCCAGTGGGGTAAAGACTCATGTAAACTCACACAGCTATTTCTTCACACCCCCCTTCAACAGAAACAAAGAGTGCAGTGCCCAAGGACACATTCAGTGAACTCACAAAGCAGAATAAGGGCCAAACTAGCCCAGCCCCACCCAAGATGTGAAGGACCCATTCGCCCAGGCTCACACCCCCGACCTCCCAGCTCCGCCATTACTGTCTCTTGGGCTTTGGCACATAACTGAAGGGGCTCTCTGAAGACCAGCACCTCCACAGACAGAAAGCAGGGAAAATATGGGCAGCAGGTGGTTAAAACCATGGGACAGGGTAAAACCAAGCAGGGGTGTGAAGAGGGGGAACAAGGAGGGGGTTAGGCCACCCATCTTCCTCTGCGTGGACCATAACCTACTCCACAAGCAGAGCAGAAGAAGAAAGGGGAAGCCACACTGCATCCCAACATCCCAACATCCCAACATTGGAGCCTCCCAGAATGGAAAGAAAAATAGTCACTGTCACAGGCAAAAGAGAATGATCGGCGAGATGAAATGAGCTACCTACGTTATTTGTTCTGTGGCAGTATAGGCCGCAAATTCATCACCAGGAGAGAAATGTAAGCTAAGAAAGGCTTGGAGCATCCTGACAGGAAGAAGGGGTCTGAGTGACCTGTGACCTGCACCCCACCCATTCCCATTGTTCTCCCTGCCCACCCCCTCAAGTGGGGCAAGACTGGGACTCATGCCAGGAAAACAGAATAAATGCTGTCCTCAGGGTCAGAGAAACCACCCCTGAGGGGAACAGGGCATATCTCAACCTGCAGAGTCACTTAAGAAATTCTTTGGCCCTGGACATTCTATTGAGTCTGTCTTCCTGAGCACAGATTACAGGTTGTTGGGATACAGCACTTTCCTCTGGAAACTGGGAGGTTAAGCCCCTGGCTGGGCCCCAGGGACCTCAGGGGCCCAGGCCAGGGAAAAGTACCTCTCCCTCATTTTTTGGCCCTCCCTGCTAGGTCAGAGGTCACCAGAGCCAATTCAGGCCAGATTTGCCTCTCCTTTTCTTCCCACTGCTGTCCCCGTCCCTCCGCCTGCCCCATAAGATGCTCCCTCGCTCACTGGATATACATTGTTTCACTCCACTGGGGCATAAGCCCCTGAGATGTGGGAGGCAGTCACCAATGAGCCACTCCTTTCATAAGATGACCTCAGTGTGGCCCCAGAGTTTCACTCTAAGGAGAAGCAGATCTCCTTAGAGGCTGCCAGGAGAAGGCAGTCACAGAGGCTCCCTCCTACCTTGCCCCCTCGCCCACCCCCATAATTGTAGAAGGAACCTGTTTTTAATTTAAAAACTTAGAGTTCTGGATGCGGAACTGCTGCCTCTGACAATGACTGGTGAGCAGGTCGCCTACTTTTTAAGAATCCCGCAAAGCCAGAGACCACAGACACCGTCTCTGGATTCATTGCCCTGGTATTTACTCCTACAGAAGGAGGCAGAAAGAACTCACCACTACAGTGAGAGTTGCCAGGCTCTTTAGATGAAGGGTTAGGAAGAGGGAAAGGTATAAGCCTGTTAGCAAGTGGGAGCAGCCACGCCGCAGCCCCCGCAGTGCCCTGGTCATGGCTGGGAGGCGTGGGTGACCGGGCCTGGAGAAAGCCCTGACCGCTGGGAGTCAGTGCAGCCATGGTGTCCCCACGTGCTAACCCGGAGTGAAGTGCACTGTGTGATGGCGAGGGCCGGGATGCACAGCCTTTGGGGTCTCTGACTCTGTATTATCACCCCACCCCCTTCCTGGCTATGTCTTTACACAGGAGGCACCTGCCTTACTAAGCCTTGTTTTCCTCATCATTAAGGGGGAAATAGCGTCCACTTGGGAGTGTTGTAATGAGGATTAAATATGGGTAAAACACTTGCATAGTTCCTGGTACATTCAGACAGTTCCTTTACTGTTAGCTATTACTATTACGTTAGACATTATTAACTATAGTTTCTCTTAACTATTAACTATAATTAGTGGAACAATAGATCCTAAGTGATGTTTGAATGTGTAGTCCTGTGTGTTGAGGCAAGCACTAGCCTGGCATGGATGCCAACCCCAGGGAGCCTGGCATGGTCCACCAAGCCTTTCCCCGCGCCTCATCCCACGCCACCCTTGCGGAGCTCCACGAGGCCGGAATCGCTCCCGTTACCCAGTGTTTTCATGTAAGGACTCCAGGGCCCAGGACAGGTGAGAAATGCTTCCCTGTGTCACCTAGTCTGTAAAAGGCTAGGCTGGATCTTAGATCTGTGTCCCCTGACTTCCTCCCCTTCCCCTAAAGCACACAGTCTGTGTGTGGAGGGTGCTGCAGAAATGTCATAAAGTAAATTGGTTCATCTGTCCCAGGAACAAGGAACCTGGAAAATGGACGGCTTCCCCTGTCCTCCCCCTTCCCCAGGTCATACATACCACATGTCACACACATCCCACGGGGAGGGTGCAGGGAAGCCACCCAACCTCTCATAAGGAGGAGGAAATCTCCCATCAAATAGCAAAGCCCCTAGAGAGCCAGTAACACATCCTGGAAGAAAAGGCTGTTCCAGTAACTTTAACCAATGAAACTCCAGACTCCATGTTTTTATGCATCCTTGTACCTGGTGTCAGGCTGATACAGGAAGCCAAATGAAGTCTCGCCAAACTCTTCTTAGAATTACAGCGGATCAACAGAGGCACTAATTAAGAAAATCTGGGTTTTAGAGTTAAGAAAAACTCTCAACTGGTATGAGACTTTAGGAGGCCAATTGGCCTGGGCCCAGATATCAGGCACATGTAGCTAAAGCATCAGCATGTGAGAAATTGTTTTATTTTTTCAGGTCTTCAAAGAAACTGCTGCCATACATGCATTTATTTTAGGGACTCAGGGAGGGTCTAAGTGCATCAGCCTCAGTTGGGGTCGGCCTCACCGTCAGCAGTCTGTTCTGGAATAAGTTGTCCTTCCTGCCCTTCTTGGTGCAATAGCGGAAGTTGCCCCCACCCTGGCTCCCTCCTGAGACCCTCTCTTTTCAGACCACCCAACCATTTCCCCCACCATTTCCTCCCACCCCCTAAGTTATAAACACCCAAATTTCCGCCACTCTCTGTTGAAACTTCTCCAAGACTCTTTTAAAGGGTGGGATCAAAACCACACACAGTGCTCTTCTCCAGGTCTGACCAAAGGTGATGAGATCTGAGGATTCACTTTAATTATCTCAAAATTTGTGTGTCTTAATTTACATCCAACCGTGACATCAATTCAGCCTTTATGTACTGTGGTGTGGGAAGGAAGCAGAAGGAGCGAGGATCCCAGTCCACTGCCAACAATTTGAGTAAGTATATACCGTATTTTGCCATATATAATGCGCACCCACATTTTTGTGTGCATTGTACGCAGGAATATGTATTCATTATACCCATGTATAATGCAAATCCTTATTTTCCCTCAAAAACTTGGGCAAAAAGTGTGCACTACACATGGCAAAATACGGTAGGTGAGATCCACCGAGACCTCCGGATCCCGTTCTGTTGGACACTCCCGTCTGGGTTCCCCCCACAGTTGCCCCACTGGAGGCTTTACCTCTAGCCCCCAACCTGATTGTATGGTTGTCCGAAACAACCGCTCTGCCCCATAACCCCCACCTTGACCCCAGGGAGCCCTGCCGCGGGCTCTGCAACCTCCCACATTCTCATAGCTGCGCCCCCTCAGCAGGTGCATTCTCCGTTGCTTTGACCAGCCAGAACAGGCCAAAAAGCCTGAGGGCGGATTCAGTCATTCCGGGTCCCCCCTAGACAACAAGTGAGGGAGTGGAAAGCATGCCTGACTCCTGGAGAAGAAATTGTCCTCACCTTGCAGCTGCCCCCGCTCCCTCTCTTCACCGACTCCCCAGAACTTGAATAGCCCTTACTGAACAGGCTGTCGGAACCCACTTGCTTTCCTGGGGCCCTTTCCGGACCTGGAAAGCTGGCCCCAAGGCACAGGATGGAGAGCCATCCTGGGGGAATTCTGAGCGTTGCAGGCAGGGAGATAGTAGCGCCTCCACGCTGCTGCTCTCGGGGAAGAGAAAAGCCTGGGGAAGGAGAACCTCCATTCTCACACCCACCGCCGATGAGTTAGGCTCTCAGCTCCTCCGTCTCCGAGGGACGACGGCCTTCCCCGACGAGGCGGCAGACGCGAGCACCTCCAAGCACACTCCCTTTCGGAAGTAACTGCCTGCAGGAGGTCTCGTAAAAGTGCCCCACGAGATGTTCTTTTTCAAAGAACAGACCAACTCCCTGGGCTAGTGCCAAGACTATCTGAATAGAGTTATCCTGATAAGCAGGTACTTTACTATCCTGTACAACACAGACACACACCCAGCACGCGCTCGCCCGTCCAGACTTCCCCTCGCCCGCAGTGCCAGGTCCCGGGGATGCGTCCCGGAGCGCGGCACGGAGGGCGTAGCAGACAGTCTGGGGCGCATCCAGAGCCTCCTGGGCTCCGCGAAAGGTGCGCCGGGCGCCGCTCGGGCCGGGACGGTGTCGGGTTCTCCGCTCACCTTAATGTTGCTGAAGATAGAGCGGGGACAGCGGCCGGCTGGGCCCGAGGAGGCGCGGCTGCCCTGTCGCGCACCAGGCTTGGACAGGAGCCCCATGGTGCCGTGCAACTGCGGGGCGGGCGCGGGGTCGAACGGCAACAGCGGCGCGGGGCGGCGTCCCGTCCGGCCCGGTCCGGGCGTCGGCGGCAGGGCCCGGGGCGGGAGACCAGTAGGGCAAGGGCCGCGCGCCGGGCTGGGGCGGCCCGGCGGAGGGGTGGCGTGCGTGGCGGCGGCGGCCCGAGGAGGTCCGCAGAGCGGGGACTGAGCGAGAGAGTGCGCTCCCAGAAGTTTTATAAGTGGCCGCCGCGGCCGCCGGCGCCGCCTACGAAGAAACGCGCTCTCCCTCCTCCTTCTCCTGGCTTGTCAAAGGCGCTGCGAGCCCGAGCCCCCGCCCCCGCCCCGCCGCTGCCGCCCCCTCGGACAGGTGTGTCGCGGCGGACCGCCGGGCTGGACAGCGTTCTCGGCTCGGGATCGTGTCTCTGCTCCAGGACCTCGGCTTGGACCCGCGAGGCCTGACCCTTCGGAGAAGGGTCCCGCCTTCGGAGAAGGTCCCGCCTGCCCGGAGGGGGTTGGGAGTGCGGCGGGCCCCGGGGAGGGGAGGTAGTGGCTGGAGGGGCAGGAGGCTGCGGGAGCGTGGGGTCGCCGGGTGGACTGGCGGGGCGGGGGTCGGTCCAGGGGGGACCCACTGGCGAGAGGCTGAAGGGGACCAGAGAAGGGGTCCGCAGGGCTCTGGGGGCAGGGGGAAGCCGGTGAAGGACCGAGGGGTTCGGGAGGGGCCAACGGGAGCCAGGGGCGTGGGAGGGGAGCCGCGGTTCCTGGAGAAGAGGGGAGCCCCCGCGCCCCTCCCGATGCACTCGTGGAGATTTACTGAGCCAGTCTCTGCTTGTTTGCACTCGCCGAAAGAAAACCTGGACTCTCACTCAGTTCCGGTGATGGCTCTGAGACTCGCCGAGGTTCTGTTTGTGTCAAGGACTGATTTATATTTAAACTGTTCTTTGCGCTGCAGAGGGGGGCCGGTAACAAGGTGGAGAAGTGGGGGCCGCCCGGGACTGGGCCGAACTCTGTGGACCGCCGCCAAGGTAAACTGCAGACGCCGTCAAGTGTCAGCTCGGCTGGGCTGGCCGCGCGCTGCGTGGAAGAGGGAGAGAGGGGGTGGCTGAACAAACAGACGCACCCCACTGACCTCCTTCTCGGGGCTGGAAGAGAGAAGCAGATGTATTTGTTTTCCCCCAAGATATTTTTCCCACTACGATTCTTAGTGCAGGGAAGAGAATGGTGAGGCTTTTCAAGAGAAAAATAAGGAAGTCCCATTAAAAGGAGCTGCAGTAAGGAAGCCAGGTGTGGGGGTATTTTTCCAGCTTCCTGATTCCCGTAGTCCCCAGCAAAGCCAGCCTCTGCAGCCTACCCTCAATACCCAGGAAGCGGTCGCTACAGCAAAGACCACAGGACAGATGGACCACATAAGGTTTCTTAACTCTACCCAACGACCGATGCCTTTCTGGGCCTGATCTGGGCTGTCCTGTGTCCTGGGGCTTCTCCTCTCTCCTATCCACCATCCTGCTGTGTCCTGTGGTCCAAGGACACTGGCTGGACTCAACAGCATGCAGCACTGAAGGAAAAACCATTGGATGGTGGACGACCTCTGGCCGCTTTACCTCCCCGCAGCGGGCAGGGGAGCCAGAGGGGCTTTCCTGAGCCTGGCACCAGCCCCAGAGCCAGAGCCCACGTGAAACCCCAGGACACAAGTCTGCCCTCTTAGAAAACTTGGAACCGGACAACTGCCACCACAGAGCCCTCAAACTGTGCTGGGCACTGGGCTGTGACACCCATGGTGGATTGTGCCAGGCATTCTGCTGGGCACCCACATGTGTGATTCCACAGAACCCAGCATTAGCCCCGCAATTATAGGTACTACTGCAATCTGGATTTTACAAGCGATGCTGCTATATGTAAGTCAACTACAAAAAGTAGTCGGAAGACACACAGCTACAAAGTGATGGAGCTGGAACTTGAACCCAGCTTTGTCTGACTCTACACCTCAGACTTGAGCACTATGCCCTTTGAAAAGTTATCTATTCCAGCAGCCTCATTTCACAAGTGAAACCAAGCAGAGAACGGAGAAGGCCAAGGTCCCAGGCACTTTAAGGCTGCCATGGCCGGAGCCTCTTCCTCAAACCCGGAAGCCTTGCTAGGGGCCTCTGATGGAACCCCAGGCAGGGGCAGCTTCTCCAGCCCTCAGCTCGCCTGCCCCACTAACCTCGCTCTCTTCCCACTGGCAGGACCGGCATCCTCTTCAAAGGAAGGGCCAATTCAGAAATGCTTACGGGTGGTTATCTGCCTTCACCTGCCTCTATTTAACTCGGTGGACTTCAGCTAAGTGTAACGGAAACCTAAACAAAGTTGCTTCAGTGAGATTTATTTGTCTCTCACAAAAAGAAGTCTGCTAGTGGCTCGTCTAGGGTGGCCATGACCAAGGCCCCTTCAGGGTTCCTTAGTGTGTGGCTCTCATTTTCAAGGCTGGCTCACCATCACAAGATGGCTGTGCCACCTCCACCTCCAGCCTCCTCTCCTAACTCCAGGAAGGAAATGAAAGACAGGAAGTATAGGAAAGGGCTGTGCTTACATCAGGGAAGCAACTCTCCCCCAAACATGCTTAGCTACGTTTCACTAAGTCTTGGCTCAAACTGGGTCACATGGCTACCCTGTGTGAAGGAGGCTAAAGACCGTAGTTAACACAATTGCTGCCTCCTGAACAAAACTGAGTCTATATAAGGGAAAAGGGAAGAAGGTATATTGTGTTTTTGACTTTCAGTGTCTGCACATGGAGTAACCCACTTCCCTAAAGGCACCTCAGGGTCTGCTTCCAAAACCCTTCCCAGATCCTTTGATATCAGCAAATATTTCTTAGCACTGTAGAAAAACAAACCACAAGGACAATCCCTGACTTCAAAGACTGCATGGTCTTATGTGGGGAGTGAGAAAGCATCAGTGTGGTGTAGGAAGAGAGCTCTTGTGCACAACTGCTATGGCAACACAGACGAGCAGCCCTAACTCACCTTGGAGCAACAGGAAGGCTTCCTGGAGGAGGTGAGTCTCACACTGAGCCATAAGGACTAGTGGATTAGGAGGAATATGGTGAAGAAAGGTAAGTCTGCTTCATGGTTTTGGTCTGGCTGGAACATGAGACCCAGGAACAGTGGGAAGGTGTGCGGTGAAGAGGCTGGAATACCGAGGGTTGTGCTATGAAGTGTAGGCCTTATTCCAAAAACCAAGGAGAGCCGTTAAAAGCTTCTGAATGGGGGTGACCTGGGTGGATTTGCATTTCACAGAGACCTCTCTGGCATTTTGGGTTAAGAGTGCAAGGAGGAAGTCTGTGGAAGGAAACCCAGGAGCTAAGATGAGGCCTGTTGTGCAGCAGGGAAGGAGAAAAAGACGCTGAGATATTGAAAGGAGAGGATATCCAGGAGTTATCAAGGGAGACATTAGGGCTGATTCCCAGGATCTGACTTGGGCCACCTGCACTGGTGATGCCAACCCCTGGCAGAGGCGCCCAGAAGGAGCAGCAGCTCCGGGGGGGAATGCGCTGAGTCCCCCGGGCTCATTTTGCGTTCAGACTGCCTGGAGTACATGCAAATCACACGTCTAGCAGGCAGTTGTGTGTGGGTCCAGGGTCAGGTGGACACTGGGCTCAAGGTGGTAGCTCGGGCACCCACACAGAGATGGTGGGTAAGCCTTGAGAATGGATGAGTCTCCCCGTGCGAATGTATTGACAAGAAATAGGTCCAGGACCAGCCACAATAACAACCAGAGGTGGCACAGGGGATAGGGCCAGCAAAGGAGACAGAGGGGAAAGTCTAACGTGGAGGGCAATATAGCAGTCCAGGGGTGGTGTTTCAAAGAGAAGGAAGTCAAGGGCACAGGTAGGTTGCTGAGGAGGGAAGATAAGACTTGAGGATGACCCCTGGGCTGGCAACAGGCCAGCGACAGGCTGGCACTGAGCACCTTGACAGGAGTGTTTCCAGCGGGCGATGGGTGCAGAGGCCCAGTTAAGGGGGTGGAGGAGGAACTGGAGGGGAGAAGGCCACCAGCCTCTTTCCAGGTGTTTCAGGAGAGGAGAAAGAGAGGGAGGAGCTGAGCAGCTTCAGGCTCCTCCCTGCCGAATGGCCCCCAGCTTTCTCAGGTCTCCTGCACAGCCACACCTCCGGGCCTGCGCTCCTGTTCACGCTCCTCCCCGGCCTGCGCCGCAGGCCTCGCAGCTCTTGGCTTCTGCTCTTCAAGTGCAGCTGCTGCGACTGCCCATTTTGGGCCTCCTAACAAGTGTAGAAACGTCTTGCAGCGGTACAGACCTGTTACACTTCTTACCTCTTGTCACTCGGGAAACTGGAGGTCATATTTTCCATTTTACAGATGAATGAACAGGCTCAGGGCTCTCCCCTTTATTGTCACAGGTCACAGTGGAGACAATGCATGAGGCGGCTAAGTGCACAGACCTTATAGTCGGACATGGATGCTGATCACTCTTCACATCAGCTGTGTCACTTTAGATGGCTTGCCGAACCTCTCAGACCCTCAGTGCCTTCTCTTTGAGGTGAAGATGTTAAGGTCCACCTCCAATGGCTGGCGGTACTGACCATAGTAAGGGCCTTTTCTCTCTTCTTCAGCTCAGTTGTGGGCTCCTTGGGACCAAGTTCTGTGTTAATTCCCCTTGTGTCTGTCATTTGGCCCAGCATATCCTGTTGCTTAGTTAAAATGGAAATAAGCTGAAATGAATTCCAGAAAGACCCAGTGACGGGGGGAGGCCTACTGTCCTGGGGCCTCCAGGCCCTGGCTGTCTCCATCACCACCCCCCGGTCCGCCCACTGCCTGTGTTCTCAGGCTCGTCCCTTCTGACCATGCCCCCCCCTTCATCGGCCTTGGTGGCTGGCCGTGGGCCCTGGGGTGTGTTTTGTAGTCCATGGGCCACATTCTCCACTCCCGAAGCAGCTGATGAAGGTCCGCTGGCACTCTGGGTACTCAAATGTCATTATGGATTAACTCTGGCCTCCTGAGTCCTTGTGCACCAACAGGTATGAGGGGTCCCACAGTGAGT